CTGCTGAACGAAGTTCATGTGCAGTGACGGCAGAAAGGGGATAAAAATAGCACAAAATTAAAGCTTTATTAAAAAGCGAAACTCATTGTCAATGCACTGGGTCAGATCACCCTTTGATGCAAAAGGACAGTCTTTCTGACTGTGAAGGTACAGCTGTGTAGAGAAGCCTGATGTCATTTAACACAATGCAAAACACATATAGTAACAACTAAACCTGCCATTGCAAGCTGAAGCAGAGGAACACATTCACTTGAAGAGAAGCAGAATAAAAGGGGAAAGAATTTAGTACAGTATTATTTGTATTTAAGCCATATGACTTCTTTACTGTACATAATTTATCTGCATGGTTTATCCATACTTTGCTTTTGTTGAATGAAAATATCTCCATTAAATATATAGGCACTTACACTTGTGTATAAGAATATTCTTAATGACTATAAATCTCAAAAGTTTGTCAGTGTTTATAAGCAATTTGACATAAATTCTTCTATGCAACATAATGGAAAATTAAATAATCAATTTGACCCAATCTGCACTCAACAGCTTTCAAACGCTTCTCAGAGAAAAAAATGCTGTATAAGTATTTTTAAAAATTCATCTTTCTAGAAGAGCGATTTCAGAAGCATGGTTGTGGTCCAGCCTGCAAGAATGAACTTTTGATTTTTATCCTTCTTATTAAATCAGGTCATGAGAATATTAAGATGCACACTACATAGTTAGAAGTACACCAAATGGATGCACAGAGATTAATAACCTAAAAACAAAGTCTTACATAATGTAAGAGTTGCTCTCAAACTAAGAAGGATCACAGTGGTAACACATCTCCACTGCAAAATATTGTTTGTAACTCATACCCTTTTATCTTTCATGAAGGGCAACTTCATCTACTTGCATCCTGGACTAAATTTGAGGTCTAGAGCCTGACATTGAGTAGGAAAATCAAAACCACCAAACCAGTTCAAGTTTACATCTCTAAATAAGAGTAGCTTTTCTTCCTGAAAAGGTATTCTGGAAATGTAAGATGTCAGGGCAACTAAAATTTAACTGAATCAGTACATATGATTAAAAAAAAAAATAAATCTGTGGAATTTAAGGAAGAATATATTTTCTACAGGGTGTTTTACACCTTCAAACAAAGAACTACAGCACATACAGCAACAAATCTATACAATACAAATAAAAATAAAGTGAAAACACTTTTATCTAGCAGCTGTGCTAAATATAGACAAAGTCTGTGTACCTTCTCATGTAGTGCATTTAACCCTTCGTATTCGTTGCATAAAGCATTGGGTCAGAAGGAATATTGGAAAAACAGCAATGGCCATATTGTATGGCTTTAAATACAGAGGGACGCAAAAGACACCTAAACATAGACCTGTAAGAATCTTTGACTCCAAAAAGAAGCCACACCAATGCCTTCACTGGGTAGTCCCAGGACATATGTCTTATTTCTCTCCCTTTTTGATGTTGGTGTGTGTTTCACTTTGGAAGCATCACATGCAAGCAGGTTGTGCAAAAAGCTGTGCTCCTTTGAAATGCTTGTAGTATGCTCTGGTTTTAGTTCTTTTCCTGTTTGTTTGGGTTTTTTTTATATAAAGGAATTTTCTAAAGCTGTGTTCTTCAATAAGTCCACCCATTCAGCTTGAAAGGATTACAGACAACAAGCAGTTTTCTTATTCAGTCTGTGAATTCCCTTTGAGAAAATAAAAAGAAAGAACAAAAAAAGAAGTGGAGTTGCTGTGTCCCAGACGAAGAGAATTTATTGCTAAGGTTTTGGCAAAGCTTACTTTCTCCAAATATTCTCCTTCTCAGTTGACTGCTTTATTACACAATGAATGCTTGCTGATTGTTTTTTTCCTCTCCATTATGTATGTATATCAACCTATATCCCCATACATACAAGGCAGTTTCATGGAGAGAAAAAAATCGTAGAAAAATATCAGAAGGCAAGATGAAATGAACTCAGTTCTTCCTGCAAGACTTATATTACTTCAGCCTTCAGTGTAGATAGAGGAGAGCTGGCTAGGGCAACAATCCACTGCATTTACTTGTAGAAAAGTGCTATCCTCCGGAATGCTGTGAGCTGACTCACCAAAGATAGTTGTGGACCCTGCTGGAAAGTCATAAACTGAAAAAAAAACAAGAATTCATTAACTAGGATAACTAGGTCATGGAGAATATCCTAATACTTATGCAGAAACCTGAAAATGGCTTTAAACCAAACCAAACAAACAAGCCAATGTATGTATGAAATTAATAATTAGGTAACTTCCTGCTTACTAAGGGAGAAATTTCAGTTCTGTCAGAATCGTGTCTGTAGTGCAACAGATTTCATCACAACTAATACTCGCCCATTGGATGGGTGCTAAAATTGTTACAATTTTTCAAGTAAACTTAATGCATGCTTATTAAATTTCTTCATCCCCAACATGTAATAAGATATTGTAGAACTCATATGTTGTAAAGCAGACCCTGGCACAGAAATAACTAACTTCTACAAGTCACAGTAGAGTAGTTAAGTACAAGAGCAACTACTTGCAGAAAAACTCCTGGTTTCTGGGTTACATCTTTACATACTGTGAGATGTCTCTTTGAAGGTACAGGTACATTGGCTATTCAATGCACTACTGAAGGATCAAGATGTAAGAGAGATTTCAAACTGCAATAAATGTTAAATGAAATCATCCTATGTAGAAGGACGATAAAAGACTTGGGCATGAATTGTGTTTAGGTCTTAAGATTAGGCCCACTGTCTTGTGTTGATCCTCTGCACAGAGGTAGCTTTCACTCTTCCAGATCAGCATGCAAGTCCCTTGGCAGAAACAAAGTCAAGTGTGCAGAGAAGTCACACAAATGGGAATAAATTAAATTAAAGACTGAGAAAAACCAAACATGCATAAGGTAAAATCAATGTTTTTAATAATCTCAGATCCCTGCTACCATACTTAGAGATGAATAGAGTGGCTGCACAAATATCAGACAGGGCTCAAAGGCCTGTATTTCAAAGCAAATATATGAGCTTAGTGATTGTCTGACTCCCAGAGGTTAAGACTTTGTGAAGACCTCAACACTGTGCAGTCCAAGAACAGATCAGATGTTACTGTGACCTATGGTGCCTGGGTCCCCATGCTAACCACTCCACAGAGATCTGAAAACCATCTGTTTTTGTGAGGAGTCAAGTCTGTCATGGCAGGTCCCAGACAAATACACAGCTCAAGCAGATCTATCAAACTTCACAAACTCTAGGCAACCACCCACAAAGTCCCCAGCTGTCATTTACCTGTAATACCAGTATGAGCTGAAAAAGTTCGATGGAAAATGCCAAGCCCTGCCTGTCCCACTGATGTGGGAATTAAGCAGTCTTCAAAAGTAGGAACCACATTGCAAGAAACATCATGTTGTATGTTCTTCTGAGTGTCAGCATAATGTGGAGGGCAGAAAGTCTGAAGCTGTCCATAAAAACCTACAAGGAGAAGAAAGATAACATGTGGAACTGTGGCTGTGAGAATCTGGCTTGACTTCAGTAGCACCAGGACTTCAATTATTTTCCATCAATAGAGCAGATTTGATGTGAAGCTCCCCAAGACTTCCTTCAGTTGCTACTCACTCTGAACACAAACCGCTTACTGGATATTCCGATTCCAGTGTGTCTTCTGAGAGGCACTGACTGGCTAGAACCTGAAATTTTTCCAGAATCTTCTCCCTTTTCTCTGTAGTCCTGTCTGAACAGGTACTTTCCAGATTTCACACTGTGCTGCTGCCTCAAAAACCGAGGAAAATGCTTGATTCAAAATAAAGGAAGATCACCCAAGTAATGTTTGAGTAAAATCTGGGAGGCTGTCACTGATGCCCAGAGAGCTGAATGATAGCGGGGACACGCATATGAGACTCCGGAGGGGTGCCAGCTGATGATCCATGGGGCCTGACCTTTCTAGGTATAGGGTGAGGTTTACTTACTCATTGATAGCAATAAGCCCATATCATGGAAGAGAATTGAGACCACTGTATGACAGAACATAAAAGATCCCTGCCAGGATTTTAATTCTTTGGGTTTTGTTCCTTAAGTGATATTTGAGAGATGAACATAAGCACTGAGTAAGTTTACACTGAAACCCATTTTAGCAGGGCGCTCCATCTCTCAGGATGCTGGCCTCAAGTTTTACTCTATTATTCAGCTGCTTTTGTCTCTCAGTTTCACAGGCCCAGGCCTGGAGTGGAAAGATTCCCATGAGAAGGGAAAGGCCTAGCAAACTCTGAGGTGGTAACAACCTTGAAAGGTATAAACAGGCCAAGTTGATGTTCAGTAACACCAGCTGCTGTCTGGTGTTGAAGAACACGGAGCTCAGTCCAGCCACAACTGGGCCTGAAACGGAGATAAAGTAAGAACAAACAGATGAACAAAAGAGTTTGCTTGGTGGGAACAAGGCCTTCATCTTTCTGACAGACACTTATTTCCTCCTCAGTCAGCTGCCTGCTTGGCATCACAAAGAGATAATATTTTCCAAGAAAATAACATAACTAACTGCCATTAAGAAATATACATAATGGGTGAGGAGTCTTTACTGCTATGGCATGCAAAAATTCCAGCTGTCTTTGGCCTGAACTACTTTAAAACAGTGTTCCTCTGCAGTATATTTCTACAGTGTCCACTAGGTGAATTACAGAAATATCAAGTAATCATTTGGTACCATTTGAGTGTGAAGAACAAAAGGAAAAGAAAAAGACAGAGATATGAATCACATATTTTACTGCCAGATTGACTTGCAAATTTGAAAAACTAGATTTAAAAAAAAAATTATTAATATATGATTATTTCTAAATAAAATATAACTTTTAGTGGTATAGCTGCCTGTAGAGTGACATCAGTATAGCTAACTCATGCCAGTTAATAATTTTTGTAATTAAATGGCAATTTTTTATTAACTGAATATTTTGCATTACTTTCTTTCTTCCATTACTCAGCCAGTTTTGGTCATCAGCTTAATTCACAAACACAGAGAGAGAGGTTACAGGCATAATTTTTAAGGACAGTCATATTTATAGTGCAAAAATATTCACAGTATCAGAAGCATCCAAAATAAAGTCATCTAAGTCCATGCCCAAAGGATATTTACCCAACTCTGTTAGAAGCACAAGAAGCTTGCTCACTGTGCAGGAGATTCTATTGCTGTTCTTTACTTTCCTACCTCATGCATCTCTTCTCAGGTGTCTCAGTCAATACCTTATTCTTTCACCTGCAGATGCCTAGATCTTCAGGTACCTCTGCTCAGATCCCTGTAGTTTTTCTTGGCTGAAAAGACTCAGCAGTACAGTACAGGGCCTGGGTCAATTGCTGCAGATTTCCAAGACCTGTACTTTCTTCTGTCTACAAATGCACAGTACAATGGTGTACAACAGTGTCAAGTTGGGAAGTCATCACTCCAGTCTCCATTTCAAGATGGTCTTAGATTTACTGCCTATGGTAATCCAACAAAAGATACTACAGTCTAATGGAAAGAAAAGAAGAGCTTCATTTCTGCAACTCAGTGAGTAGTCCAATATAATCACTTCCAAACATCCCATGCAGGAAAGGAAATTGTGAATTTCACAAAAGGGTATATTTTGTCTATTATAAAATATTACCTAAGGCAACAAAAAGCCCTCTCTGATATTACTGTGTGTCTGGTGCTGAAAATCACTCAGAGCAAATAATAAAATCTGAACCGTAGACTTTTCCAAGAAAAAGCATTTTACAATAAATTTCTGTTTGTTAGATAGAACATGCTTGCCCCTCTTGGGTCTCCTACAGAGTTTCTTTCTAAAAAGATTGTACTCTGAGATCTCCAAGAGCTTTTAAGATGCCCAGGCTTTCAGTAAAGGAAGTTGTTTAGAGCTTGTTTTCTTCAAAAAGCTTTTCGGCAATTAAACTCTTTTTTCCTTGGTTCAGTCAATTTAAACGGGTTAACAAGTTTAAGACTACGTATTGAGATAAAAATACCACCACTGTTTGGGAAAGCACTGAGCTGAAGTGTCTACAGCTACAGCACTTTAAATCATGAAAAGGCAGGTTATCAACTGCAGGAGACAAACTAACAGAGCTTCCCACAGACACTTCTTACAAGCCAAATAGTTTGGGCTGGTGAGAAAACTCCATGGTGTTTCAAGACCAAGGAAGATAGTCTTTGTAGTGGTGCTTGGAAAACAGGACCCTGAACTCTTGAAACATTTCTTTACAAGAGGCAGAGTTTAAACAAGCATTTCAGGCACACAGGATGAACAAAGCTTTCGGTGTAGCATGCAGAAGTAGCACACCTGTGCATAAGCTGGACATTCTGACAAAATGCCTCTTATAGTGACAATAGGTTACTCAATCTTTGAAATAACATAAATACTCAAATGTGGCATTGCACTGCAATGTATTAGAACTTCAAATTAAAAAAGAAAAAAAAAAAAAGAAAAAAAAAAAAAGAAAAGAAGTGTTCAGCCCACATTGTCTTCCTACCAGCTTAAAGTGCAGAGATCTTTACAATGGCAACTTTGAGTTGCTATCTATGTGTATATAACTTCTGTCAGCAACGCCTATTTTTCAACATATATTTTGCTGGGACAGGACAGGGAGGCAAACACAGTAACACTAATGTGGGACTACAGTAAGATAGATACAGTAAGTAAGATATAGGTTTAATAATAATCCAAGCCCTTGAGGTTATAAATTTTTTTGATCCACTCAGATTGCATTAAGCTCTATCTTAAATCTGGATGTGGAATGGGGCTTTGGTCCATATATGACATTTGCCCAGAAGAGGGTCTCTAGTGGGCCTTTTTCTTATAATGGTTTTAGTGACCCATGTCTTTTGTCCTTTTACATCCTCTCTGGACTGTGGGAGGGGGAGATGGGAACATAGTAGCATCCATCTGACCTGTCCTAAAGAGAAGATGCCCAAGCAGACATGGAGCTCACTGCACCTGCACGTGCAAGTCCTGTGTGGAGCAGCAACTGATCCAAGGTGATTTGTGAGCCTCCGGGAGGCAGGATTCTTTGGAAACTGTTCAACTTTGGAGCAACTGGAACTGATTCTGGCTTCTACAATTCCTGAAGCTCTCACAATCCTGACAAGAAGAGGGTGGTAAAGCCATCTATGCACTCAAATACAATTTTTGTTCAAGACAGGAAGACAGACCTTAATGTCTGGATGCCTTTCTGGAAGAGAAGTTCATGCCAAATATTCAGCAAAAATGGAATTAAGTAAAATGTACTGTGGAAACAAGAAGGCTAATCTGATCTTTTCATGCCCCATATGGTAGGAATTTATTGGACCTGCTCTGGCATGTTTTTGCATGTATCATGAGAAAAAACAGTATATTAATAAATTTCACCCTGTACTACTTTAATCAGAGAATAGAGAAAGCCAAAACATCCATTGGTAAATTTAATGTTCTTTTAATAATAATTAGTAATAATCAGTGCTCTACAGAATTACTAGTTCTTGAAATAAAAGCCTCTGGCTCAGATCCTGTCCACACATGGTCTACTATGGTAAGACAAATAAAACAGGACTGCCACCTTTCTTTCTCTCCTTCACACTCATGACCTTTGGGACACACTGCAGTGTCCTGTCTCATCCCTTTGCCTAGGGAGACTGCTTCCATCAGTGGAAGAAAACAAAAGAAGCTCTGGTTTTCTCAGGATGTGTTTCCAGTAATATCTACTATGATCATTCTCAGAAAGCCTGATCAAAAAGCAGAATCCCAAGGCCTAGAGAAGTCCAGTGTGCTGTGTACCTTGTCTATGTAAATACAGATTTAAACAGTTGAGAGGAAACAGCATTACTGCTGTCAACACATTTCTGAAATGTTAAGGTAATTACCACTTTGACTCCATACCAGCTGGAAAAAAAACCTCAAAAAAACCCTAACACTGTTTTCAGTTGTTGTCAGTTTTTTCTTGGCTACAGAAGCTTATACTTAATTGAACAAAGAGGGAGAGGGAAGTCTTGTAGAAGCTGTTTACACAGTGCAAGTGGAAACACAGCTGTAAGATGTATGCTAATTAGGTCTCTATTGCTCCACAAGTGCAAGGGAGAAAAAGATTCCACCCCTTGAAAACCCAGTAACACTTTATGTGTAAATTCAGGAGATACTAGAAGCATAACATTAGAAAATTAAAAGCAGAGGCCATGACAGAATTATTTGCAGTTCTATTTCAACAACAGCTCTGAAAAACAGTTTGAAGAGAAACCCTTAACTCCAGAGTAAGATTGATAATAATCAGCTAAGCTAAGAATTTTAAGGAAGTCTGAAGGCAGTGTCCTGAAGGCTACTTTCCAGAGTTTTTCAAAAGGAAAGGTGCCCTAAAATGTCAGCACCAGCCCCTGAAGCACTCAATTTAGGGCCAATTAGCAGTGACAAGTAACTAATATCAGTAATGATGGTTCTTCCTTCTTACCTTGGATGTGGGGGCTGTTTAGTTGACAAGAAGTGTTTGCTGCTGGCTGGGATGTTTTTTCATTCCTGCAGGCTGTTGTAGGTGAGGAGACTGCAGAGTCCGTCTCTGCATTCTGAGATGTGGAACTGAAATTGTCTGGGGGCTGATGTGGTGAGGAGAAGGAGCTGGAGCTGCAAACCTAGGAGTTCAGAAACAGAAAACTGTAAAATCCCCAGTAAGTAAGAAATAAAGATTGGGTTTGCTTTACTTAAATCACTGTAATGTTTAGAAATTTGCAGAGGTATCAGACTTCCACGAGTACAGTGTGCAGCCCAGATATAGAAAAGATATATTTTTTAAATGGTGACCTATCATTACATTTGATGACTGGGACATTAAAAGGCTGCATTGCTCCCTTATCATGGAAAACTCCTTTTAGCTTCTGTGGTTGAGCATAAGTCTTAATGGCAGGGGAGACCTCATGGAGGATCTGATTTCCAAAGCATTGCCAGCTGTCTTCTTGTAAGGCTTTTTATCAATGCTGTCTGTCAATAAATAGCTGTCCTTCTTCACTGGAAGTGAGTGGTTAGTTCTGGTTGTTGGACTCTTGTTGAAATGGTAACAACAGACCAGGAGAAGGCTGAGGTTCTCAACCTTTTTGTCTCAGTCTTCACTGGCAACTGCTCTGCTCACAACTCTCATGTTGATGGTCCACAGGATGGGAACCAGAGAGACAAAGTCCCCCCCCAGTGCAGGTGAAGATAAGGCTTGTGACCATCTGAGGAACCTGAAGATACACAAGTCCATGGGACCTGATGAGACACATCCCAGAGTCCTGAAGGAATTGGCGGATGTAGTTGCCAAACCATAGTCCATGATGTTTGAAAAGTCATGGCAGTCAGGTGAAGTCCCTGGTGACTGGATAAAAGGACATGTTATGCCCATATTTAAGAAGGGTAGAAGGGAGGACCCTGGGAATTACCGACCTATCAGCCTCACCTCTGTGCCTGAGAAGATCACAGAGCAGATCCTCGTAGAAGAGGATCCCATGCAGGGGAGCTGGAACTCAATGAACTTTAAGGTGCCTTCCAACTCCAAACATTCTGTGATTCTAACAACTCCTCAGCTAGTGCAGAGGGACTGTGAGGAGCAATGTGGTGCATCTTACAGTTCTGATAGTTTTGTCGGTAGGCTAAAATAAGCAGACACACACACTTCAAACTTCAAAAATTCTGTGATTCTGAATTAAATATTAGGTTCAGGTCCAGGTTTCAAGTTCTAGAGATCTTTGTTACATAGAGCTATTTGAAAATAATCTGAAGTCAATATAATGTATATAAAGGCAAGTTTTAGGTTGCTTTCAGTTGGGCAGAGTCAAACCACATCAAAATGTTGATCTGGATTCCAAGTATAAACTTGCAGGCCTATCAAGGGAGGCAAACCATTTAGACAGAACCTGCTGGTGCAGCTGACATAAAGGTTCATCACTTCACTAGTGTGTTTTGCAGAGCTTCATCACTACCAGCATTACAAGGATACACAACACTTTGAGGATTTTACACAAGAGTTTTACAGACATTGCAAATATAAGTTTTACCTACATTGCCTTAAAATTGCATACCTCCAAACTACACTACAAATGGGTGCTACAGTAATTTTTGCAGATGGAAAGCTGGGGTTATAAGGGCTCTGGTATGTGCTCCTGATAACCAAACTAGCCACTAAGACTAATGGGATGTGATTTGTGTATCAAAGCTCAACCTGTTCTCAGGAGTGGTTGAGTACAACAGTAGGAGCAATACAGAATGCTTCTGGACAGGTTATTACTGCATTCAAACCTGAGATACTTCATGCTGCAGCTCAGAATCAGTTTCTGCCACAAACTATCTGTGTGATTTAATTGAACCTATTTACTACTTTTCTGGTATATCCATCATTTACTTTTGGAGTAGTGTCAAGATGAACCCTGGATGATTTACTGTCTGTTCAGCATTCTTAGAGAATCATACTTTTAGGTGTACTAGATAGAGTTTAGATTATGTTTGTGCTGATTTAATATTAACTTCATAAACATATATCTTACTTCAGATACACTGTATAGATGGAGGAAATAAAGATGTCACTACTGAGCCACTGAGTCTTTAATGTGTCAAATATTTCGTTATTCCAGATAACTGATGCAGTGTAGTCTTAAAGATATACTAGGGAGGAAGATAATAAAGCATGCATGTGTTTCATAATGATGCTAGAGAATAATTTTTTAAAAAGAGAAATCAGTATTGTGATAAAAAGATCAGGAGATCAGGTTTTTAAACAGTTCTAAACTGCCTCTTTATACCTCTCTCTAAACATGAGTTAGCTTTCTACATAGCACTCAAAGAGAAAGATTGTTATTTGCTATCTGAGATTAAAAGCAATGCACAGTCTTTTATTACTACTAATATTTTAAAAATAAAGGGATATCATCCTCTATGTTTTTAAAATTAATTTGTGAAAATGAGTATCTAAAAAATGGTTTTAACCAGCAACCAACAGCAGAGCAAAAAAAACCTTTTCAAAGCCCAAATTGAAAAACACAGCTTTATAGATTTCACTTTTGATTTAACATCCAAAAAACCCTCCCAGCAATATTAAGTATATTAAGTACTGCTTTGTATTGCCAGACAGGACTCCTTCTTGGTACACTTGAGTGGTCTTTATAATGATTTATGAACCACATAATGAATTTTTGGCTTACTCATATGGGTGTCTATATTTTCTTTTACTTCTCTTCTGCCTAATAAAAGACAAACTTGGACTTGTATCCATACAGATTTGTCCCTGAACAAATATAATTGTGTTACTGGGGAAAGTGCAAATTTAATTTTGACCCTGAAACAATCAGGACCAGCTTGTAACCACTGCAATCAAGAATTGTAGCCAAGCCCTGGAGCCAATGCAATCAGGAACTAGATTTTCAGAAAGGTGCCCTTCCTTATGCCTGCTGGACACAAAATCAGTGCAGGAACATTTCTGGAGCCATTAAGAAGTTATCTCCCTTGCAGTAGCTAAGAAAAAGTGTCCTGCTGAGGAATGATTAGATTTAGTAGCAATCAAGGTAGAAGAAATCACCAAAGCTACCTGCTTTGATGAGATTAGTACTGATTTCAAAACCATGCTCTTAGGGTTTTTAACTAAAATTAAGTTGCTTCTTGAATCTAAATTCTCTATCTGATTTTGACATTGAGTTCTGTACACAGAATGAAAGCAGTGTAAGATGTGTCCCATGTTTGCTTCAGTCTCACATTAATCAGGCTTAATCAAGTCCACACTCTCCCTCTCATCACCTAGGTGGAAAAAGAAGCAAAAGAAGCCCTCCAATTACTTCTCTACCCCATGGTACCTGGAGATGTGGGTAAAGTGCTTATTTCCTTCTGTTTTTCTCACTCACAAGCCTGAGTCTGCTGTCCAAAATGGAAGGGACATGTGACTGGCCCTCAGAGTTGGCAAAGCAGCTTGGATTGGCTTCAGTTCAATAAATGCAGGCTATCACAGGGATGAGTGCTGGTCAGGCTGTCCTTACCTCTGGAATGAACCCAGGCATACACAGAGCATCAGGAACTGCACAGCATGGGCATAACAAATGTCCTGCTTGCATGCCTAGATCTTGCAGTCCTCTCAAGGATGAGATTGGGATAAACAGGGTGATTCCCACCTTTCAAGCACTTTTTTATACTGAAGTATTGGTTTGTTCAGCTCACATTTTCACAACTATTATACCACCCATGAAGTGGTGTAAATAACAGCCTATTTGTAGAGCCCCTAGGCAAGGGAACTGTATTGCATTCAAGATGCAGAGTCTGCATTAGTTTGACTTTCAACCATTTCCTTAATTTGATCCGCATGTTCTGTTATCAAATCAACACTGCTGTAATACTTTTTTTCTTTTCTGAATTTAAACTGCTGTTTGCCATGCTACCTAAATGAAGGTAGTAGAAACTTTTGTTTTAATCCAAAGTAGATCCATGAATAGGAATTAATGCTTAAAGCCTTTATAAGAGAATGTAAAAGTAACATACGATAAAGGAGTGTTTCACACTAGCTTTTCATTATTGCTATTCTGTAGAGTACAGTAGTGTCTTGAGGTCTGTAATACACTCAGGGACTTCATGAGTTAAACCATACCCTGAATATGTCTGATACAGTCCTACACCAGTAACTGCCTCAGAAATAGGCTAATGAGAAGATCACTCTTTTTGATCATGAAATGTATACCTGTAATAACTACTGATCTGTTCCTACTCGTCCCCTTGTGCTCTGGATCTTGTTGGATATGGATGTTGAACAATTCATGCACTGGACAGAAAACTATAGTGGGAAGGAAAAGCCACTGGTCAGGCAAGAGAGCATTGGCAGCCCCAGAGTTTGCAGAGAGAGGCAGAGCCAGGGCAAAGGAAGAAGTTCAGGACTACATGGCCAGGAGTGAGGACAAAGGACTGAACCACTAGGTGAGCTCCAGTGATGATGAAATGGCAAATTGCATCTCAGACTGGTGAGCAAAATACTCAACAAGTCCAGTAGCTTCAGAACTGGCTGAATTCACACAGGGAGTGTGACATTGCAAAGTACTTTCACCTGTTGTCAACCCCTAAACCATTATGTTCTTCCATCTTACTGATAAAAGGAAGGGTGAGTACTGCTTTCGTCCAGAGAAATTATGCTGGCTGAGTAGAAGCTTAGCTGTGTGAGGGACATAAAGAAAGTCATAGGGACAGGCTATGGTCTACTGAGTCGAAATCAGTTGTCTTGGTTAGACTAACTTTCTGCTTATTCTGCTCATTCTAGGCCTCCTTGGGATCATTCGTAGATGAGTCCTAGTGTGAGTAGAAGGATGATTATGGTGGCTCAAGTTAGGGTGGTGGTGGGGGATTGGAGTTGTGTGGCTCAGGGGAGTGGAAGTAGGAGTGCGATTTCCAGGTCGAATAGTAGGAATAGGATGGCTACTAGGAAGAATCGGATTGAGAATGGGAGGCGGGCGGATCCTAGTGGGTCGAATCCGCATTCGTATGGGGATAGTTTTTCTGAGTCTGGGGTGATTTGGGCAAGTATGCTCATTTATCATTAATTGAAATCTAGTGAATGTGCTTTTCAGGCTTATAATTGGATACTTTCTGCTCTCAGAGTTACTGGCATTTCTGCCACTCAAGAAAATTAAACACTTTGAAATACAGTAAGGAGCTACAACAATTTATCATTTAGGGCACCGAAAAATAGGGAGATTAAGCAAATAATATTTAAACATCAATATATATAGTAAGAATTCAGAATTCTGTGTGATGGTGTATCTTACTGACTTCACTGAAAAGCTGTTTGCTTAGGTCTCTTCAGTCTTGCTATCTGGCAGACATATGGTTCAATGAATTAAGTGGAAATCTGTAATAGATTAGATAAATAATTTGAAAGATTGCTGAAAATCATGTAGGGAATGTCTAAACACGAAAATTAAACAACTTCCAAGCGATCTGCTTTCACATCACTGAATTATCTAAAGCCATGTGTTGTGAACCAACGTCAGTCTTATGTGGTTGAAGAAGACGGTTCGTTCTCCACACCATGGTAACAGCAAAGGTCAAGGAGTTTGTATGTAGCAGCATAAAATCAATCCTGACTGTAAATCAAGTGCTTAAACCAGTGAATTAAAAATTATTTCATTATCTATTGGTCTTAATAAAATGTCAAGGGAAAAAAAAAGCCAGCTTCCTGCAAAAAATCTTAGTATTCAGTGAATACTGATGGAATATGACTCTCCTACAGCAAGTAAACAGAAATATGCATCTCAGGGCCCTCATTCTGTAAGGTATGGAGGTATGGCTGGGGTCGTCAGAAGTTTTGTGTCCCAGTCAGTATGACATTCTTTGCTTGGGGCATTGCTGGAGATCAAGAGGGAACTGGAGGAAGTCCCTTAAATGGAGATGGATGGAAATCCCCCCTTGCCCTGGCTAGTATCAAAAAGCCTTTTTCATCTCTCCTTCTGCTGGTAAACACATACCTAAAGCAATGGATAGCCAGGGGCTGCCAACAGCAACTTCCTGCATGCCAACAATTTCGTTTCCACCCACCCTGGCAACTCTGAAGGCAGCCCTGCTCCGGGATCAGCATGAAGAACAGGGACTGGTCTTACCTCTCTGAGTCCACAGCTGAGAGAAGAGGTAACTGGGGTTGAGGATGGAGGGGACTACCCTGTATGTTATGTCCTGGGGAGGGGTGGCTGCTGCGGTGGGACAAGGACACTGCCCCAGCTGCTGTTCCACTTCGACTTGTCTGTGTGCTGCTGAACATAGCTGCTGAAAGCAAAAGAAGAGAAATAACCCTCATCAGGCAAGCTACAGTATTGATAACCGAGCAAATACTAATGGAACACTACTCCCCCAAAGCTGTATTGTCAATTCTTAGCAGCTAACTGGTTTTTCTCAAGTGTTGTCCTCTGTCCAAAGGGAAGGAAAAAAACACACATTAAAAAAAAACCCCAAACCCATCTTTGCAGGTCCAAATACTTCCCAGGCACGACACAGCTGCCCTTCTTGTGCTGGGAATTTTGTCTAAATAGGGCTGTAAATGTTCTACAGCTTTCTATTGTAGAAGAGGTGGCAAATACGTCCCAAGTTATGTATTTTTAAAGCTAGTGAAAGTCCAGTTTTGTAAATACTGAAACACTTTTTACCTTTTCCCCTCAGATGTAAAAATCTCAAATTTCTTGAAGTGGTGAAGCCAAACTGAAACACTGCTATTACTACCCCACGACTCCCTAGTAATGCATACAAAAATTTTAAACTAGCAGTAAGAGTTTTGTAATTTTCTACGAGGTTGCTCTTCTATACATTCCAAATAAGGAAAATATTCTGAATGATTATGCAAAAAGCAATACTCCCTTCAAATGTCCTCATCAGTTTACCCCAAATTCTGCAGTCTTATTTGCAGAAGTTCTTCAAATTAGGCAGTCAGAAGAATGACACTGATTATCTACACCCTCTGAAAATTCAGTTACTAAATTATTTTTACTGGCATCTGTTTTAGGAATTGAATTGCAGCCAAATACATGCTCTTAAATAGTTTATGAACCCTGAGAATGAATTACATAGGCTGTCTACAACATTAAAATGATCTCTCACTGACTGTCATTTCTCCCAGTCTCTTTATAAAAAAGTATTGTTTAAGCCTAGTTTACAGAGTAAGATTCTAATATAAAACTTATGTTATGTTAGTGAATATGTTGGAGCTAATGATTCAAATTTATTGATAGAATCCTAGAATTTAAACCAGTTCCCCAAAGGGCACTGTCACTGTGAAAAGATCTTTCTAGGTTAAAATACCTGCATTGATGCTAAACTCCTAGTAGAACACAGACTGCCTGAGGAGTAATCCCACAATAGATCTGTCTTCAATAAAATTTTAGAGATCATAATTTTCAATGTTGCTACCCAAGATCAAAAAAGTGAAAAGACAAACTCATCTCCTAAGTTCTCAGCTGACTTCTGGAAAGCCTCTATTCATCCTTTCAAGTCAAGGTGTACTGTAGACATTGACCCAGACAAGGCAGAGTTAAGGAAAGGCTCAGGAGCTTAATTATGCTATAGCCTCACTAAAGAGCAGTCCTGTACATTTTTCAGCTGATGGAGATAACAGACAGTGATAGGTGACAGATAGGAAACCACTCTGTGAATAAAAACATCAATATAGATGCTGCAGAGGTAATGTCAAAGTTTAGAGAAAGATGGGATGAGCTCCACTGGTGGGCAAGGCTGGAGGAGTGGAGGCTTCCCTACCACATGGCCCAGAGGACAAACAAAACCAGCTGTGTCTGCCCTCAGCATTAGCCCCTACCGTTTGCTAATTCTTATACGGGCCAGAGTCTCCTTCTCACAACCCAAGTGACAACGGACATCTGATAGTAGAAGGCATCCCAAACCTCTAGGATAAAGGATAAGTACAGAGGATAAAGATACCACAGGGAGATGAGACATCACTTAAGACAGCAGAGTCACTCACTAAGAAAGGGCTGAGGAACAACCTCCTGCAGGACAGGGGCTGGTAGCTTTTGGTGTTCTTTTACTTTGCTCATGCACCCCAAAAATCAACTTCTCTATACTTTTCTCTCCAAGTAGCATCAAGACAAATGCAGAGGGGAAAACAAGAAAATGGCCTTTTGAATTTATTATTTTATGTTTGTGCAGAGGAAAACAGAAAAAAAACTAAATGCAAATTCTGGCAGAGCAAGCAGAGACAATTTGTAACAAATAAATACGCTGCAAAGAAAATCCTTGCTTATCTAAATAAAAACAGAGACTACTTAAATTATTCCTTGAAAAAACAGGGTGACTCTCATTTTTCCATAAGAAAAACTTTAAAATGTGTAAGAAGGTACAGTGCCTTAGTTTCCCAGTACTGTGGTCTCTGAGTTTTTTTAAAAAAAAATTATTCAAGGCTGTGTTTTATCGGGAATAAAAAGGCTGGACTATCGCTGCATTTCCAGCCAGGTAGCAAGTGTTGCTCTTCTCTGTCATAGCTGTTCTCTGCCACAACCTCAATAATGATTTCAGGCAGGTATTTTCTAAGTTGTTCTTGCACATTTCTAGCTGGTCCAGGCTGCTGTGCCAGCACAGGTTCCCACAGCACTGCCCAAGACCTGGTGACTGTCCCTGGGAAAAGGTTATCTGCAGCCAGGCACAGGCGTCCATCTGCCCTTTCTCTGAACTACAATATTCACTGTCACAGCAGTATCGGTTAACATAGTACCTTTTGGCTAGGTTTCCCAGCAGTTTCTCTGTATTTTTTTCCCTTCTTCTGACGAACAGTGTAAAATAAGAGCTAACTATGGCAGGGACTAGAGGGGCAGGTATAATACTTAAGGAAGAAAAAGCATGCATATTAACTGCAAAAATGTATTTCAGTAGACAGAGTATGTTACATGAACACAGCATGACAGAAGAGCATACCTGGGCTCCCACAGTCCCTTGTAATGAAGTCTACAAGAGTAGCACCATGAATGGTAGTGCGGCAGATCACGGAATCATGGAATTGTCAGAGTTGGAAGGGACTTCTAGAGATCATCTAGTCCAACTCCCCTGATAAAGCAGGATCCCCCAGAGCACGTTACTCAGGACTGCATCCAGGTGTGTCTTGACTATCTCCAGAGAAGGAGACTCCACAACCTCCTTGGGCAGCCTGTTCTAGTGCTCTGTCACCCTCACTGTAAAGAAGTTTAAATGGAACTTCCTAGGTTTCAGCTTCTGCCCATTGCCCCACATCCTGTCACTGGGAGCTACAGAAAAGAGTCTGGCTCTGTCCTCATTGCACCCACCCTTTAGATACTTACAGGCATTAATAAGGTCTCTCCTCAGCTTCCTTTTCTCCAGGCCAAAGAGTCCCAGCTCTCTCAGCCTTTCCTCATGAGGGAGATGCTCTAATCCCCCCAAGCATCTTTGTTGCCCTTCAATGGACTCTAGTTCCCTGTCTCTCCTGAACTGGGGAGTCCAGAACTGGATGCAGTATTCCAGATGTGGCCTCACCAGGGCAGAGTAGAGGGGGAGAATGACCTCCCTTGGCCAACTGGCCACACTCTTCCTTATGCACCCCAGGATTCCATTGGCCCTCTTGGCAGCAAGGGTATGTTGCTGGCTCATGGATAACTTACTGTCTGCTAGGACCACATAACACCTGCATAACACATCTTTTCTCAGTGCAGCTTCTTGCTGCAGAGGTACTGTGCTGAAAAAAGCACATCCATGTGCACCCAGTGAAGTGAAACTGCAGTTCTGGCAGCTGCTTGCCAGTGGAAATACTACTATTAAAACCTTCTAGTGAACCTCCTTGGTTCAAGCTACTACTGGAATCATGTAAATACTAGTTGAAGGGAAACATTTTCAGCTGTTGACTGTCTACAGACTTATAGCAGTCAACAAATACTGTCAATGATGGGTCAATTTCCTAGCAGAGCTAGTGCTAAGAGACTGACAGAAAAATATGGACACTGTTTAAGAAACTGCTGGATAAGCTGATCACTTTTTCTTGGGAGCTGTGTGTGTGGCAAGCCTTTCCAATGGTTTAGCTGTTAAATGCGAGTTGCTTGCTCAAAGTGCTGGGAGTAAATATCTTTAAAAAATGAATGTCTTTTCAGTGTCTGTATTTGTATGGCATGAAACTGAACAAATGTCACCTTCTTTACAGTGAGGGTGACAAAGTACTGGAACAGTCTGCCCAGGGAGGTTGTGGTGTCCCCTTCTCTGGAGATATTTAAAACCTGCCTGGATGCAGTCTTGAGTAGTGTGCTGTAGGCAATCCCACTTTATCAGGGGAGTTGGACTAGATGATCTCCAGAGGTCTCTTTCAACTCTGACAATTCTGTGATTCTGTGAAATGTTCATGGCAACTAGCATGCTCATTGACTCCAAAATACCACCAGATAGATCCACACAAAAGACACAGAATGAAGTGTCTTACTTAACAAAAAGGCTTCCCACAACAAGGATTTTCTGTCTCATCAATACAAGATAAAGTAACATACTTGAGAATAATTTTTTAAAGATCCAGATATTATGAAAACAAAACAAATAATTACTGATGCTATTCCTCTGTGTTCTTAAAAAAGCTACACCATTATTTACAAGACAGATATAATCTGTTAGTCCTGAATGTGAAAATTGCATTTGGATAGACCCACAAAGTTTCAGCCACAGAGAAGAAGGAACCATATTTTTATTTTTGGAGTCTCATCACAAATCAATTCATCAACATACAAGAATTTTCAGTGAGAATATCTCTGCAAACGCTTTTCTACGAGAAGCTAAATTCACATGCCTTCTCATAATGCACAGGAACCAATCAGGTGATTAGAAGAGAAAACTGAATTCCGAATAAGGCTCCTTTACATAAAAAAAAGACACAGAAGTAGCATTTCAAAAGTTATGGAATCCAAAGCCTAAATGAAAAGAAAACAAAAAATAAGGGAGCCAGAAACTTGTAATTTCATGGAACATTTTTTAAATTGAGAAGAATCACCCTCCCATTTGCAAATTGCCAACATTGCCAAATTTTACTGTCTTGGATTCATGTCAAATCAGCACTTCCATCAATCTATTTCTGCCCCCAAAATACTTCGCCTCTTACCAGTATGAAGTATTACTCTTCGCCAGTATGAATTTGGGGAAAGGCTGAGAATTCCTTCCATATAGAATTAGACAGTGTTAAGGTTTCATTTTCATTCAGTCAATTCAAATTACATACAAACGTTTGCAAGACGGTTTGTTTGTTTGTTTGTTTGTTTTCACTACTATATGTAACTTTCCATTTCTATAAGGAGTTCTTGTGAATAAACAATTTTCTAGTGCACAGAAAGAAAAATCTAAGATGCTTTTTGCACTTGGGAGCATCACTTCCATATATTCTCCCTTCTCACTGACCTTAAGGAGCCTATACTTCTCTATAGGATTTGATGGTCAGGCTTACTAGGGCATGTGCTGTGTTGAGCTTTAAGCAGCAATCCCAACAAATGTAAAATATGCTGCCTGTGTTGCCTTGATCCTGCCCAGTTCATCTGTAAATCTGAAGACTCCAGTGAAATTTAGGAAGCAATCATGCATTAAGAAGTAGAGCAGAAGTCAAAAACATGTGATGAAGATAAGAAGCCTGTCTCTAAAGCCGGGTTGTCACATGGACCATCTGCATTGCTGGTCTCTGAATCTTTCTTCAGATGTTTTGTAGGTAGTTCAGAGATACTGGGGACTTCCAAATACTGGAGGGACCTAGAAAGCTGGAGAGTTTACGAAGTCCACCCCCTCAAGATATTTGGTTAGAAGAAGACAAGTCCAGGAAGGCACCTTGTACAGTAATCCAGTCTACTTATTTGGAGACCTGTTCAATTTCTGTCTTTTGAGATCCCTTGCCTCAGATCTAAATGCTTAGAACATAAAGAGGTTTTTTGGTAAAGATCTTCCACACATAAAAATTGCCCTAAGGCACCACATCATCCACTAAGAATCTTTTCCCATACTCCACAGCTCAGGAAATAGGCCAGAAAAACTAAGAAAATAATTGAATAATTATCAGTTCAATCAGAAGAAAAATATCAGTATTACTTTATAGTTCATTAAAGGCCTATGATAAAAATGGTATTATGGTGCTTGCTAAAAGCCTGATCTTTCATTTATGAAGTCACAAAAGTTACAAAATAAGAAAAACATGTATGCAGTCTTAATTTTAGATAGATAAGTAATTTAAAATATTATTGTTGTATTTCTTTTGAATATATCTCTGTTTGCATATTCTATACCTAGTACAAAGAAAAGGTGATCATTACCAGGCATTGGAAATGCAGCTGTCTGCTTTTGATATCTTTTACATATTTCTAATAGTTTGCTTTCAAACATTTATTCTGTAGATGTCTAAGGAGAGGAGAAAACCTACCTTTGCTTTAAATGTGCATAAATGATAAGAAAATTAATCTTCAAGTGAGAAAACTCTGACTTAATGGCATTGGGAGAATGGAGATCTGTTTCTTTCTCTTTCTGCTTGAAAAGTAGCCCAGAAACATTTCAGCTAATGCTCTATCCCTAACAGTTCACAGTAAAAGTTACATAATATATTTTTCAGAAAAATCTCAAAAGTGTAAGGGAAAGTGGTTTATTACTTACAGAGAAATTAATGCTGATAAATGTATGCTAGTACTAGAAAAAGTGCTGCACAATAGGAAGCGGTGCCAAGAAAGAAAAAACAAACTAGCAACTTTTTATATTAAAAAATATCTATAGTCAGTAGTGCTGTAAATCCCAAGTACAGAGAGACAATGTATAAATGAGATTACAAAAAGTAATGCCACAGTCCCAGAAGCTGTCTATAGGACATCATGACTGCAGACAATTGCCAGCTAAGGGCTGGTTGGAGGCAATAGCTTTGCTCCACTTAGGATCCTGACAGAGTTATGGGGCAGCAGTTTGTTCAAGGCACTGTCTGCCTAGGTTTGGATTGACCCAGCAGAAGGAAGCCAGACTGGTAAAAGAGCTGAATGGTCAACAGATTCCAATGGCAATCTCCTGTGAGAACGCCCTCCGTTTCTGAAAACTTGGTCTCAGCTCAAATAACACACTGTCCCCACTTAGTTTCTATGCTACCTAGGGACTTGAAAGGAAAAGGAAAAGCTGAGTCTTTAATATTCTCTGAGTTTTGCACATTAGAGTGGGTGTTGCCAGTAAATAATTCTTTTAGTCTCAGCATGCCTCACTATCCAACTCTCTCTCAAAGTATAATATAAAACAAGCAGCTGTAACCACCATCATGTCACTTGTGGTTCCAGGGCCAAAATCAGGTCTTTAAGATCCTTTACCTTTCAATTGACAGATACCACACTTGGCTTATACACAGATGAAGGCATTTAAAAGTTAACAGCATAAGAGTAATACCAACTATTTTATAAATTAGGAAACAGTCAATCACAGCTTTACAGTTTTTACTTTTTTTCATATAAACCTACACCATCACCAACTAGTGTGTAGATCACTAAAGCCTTGTCAAAAACATAGTACAGAATTGGCAGGTTTACAAGCCTCTCAGTAAAATAATTTATTGAAGTGGCCATTGCATATAATGTCTATTTTAGCACCACACATAACATCCAGCCAATACTTTAACTTCCTACATCTGGTTCTTAATTATGTTGGAACTGTTGGAAAATGTAATGGATCCTGCCTGAAAATTAAAACAGATATCCCAACAATTACTAATACACTGTTGACTTCCTGCCCATCACCGTCTTGAGCTTTGAGATATGTTATCACTCATAACTTATCAAATGTTTCAAGTTTAGCTGAAATTTGAAAAACAATTATACCTTTAGTGAGGTGTGACAGTTTGGTGTTTTAATATGAAAATCTCAGATATGTTACTGAAACAATTTAAATAAATGTGTTTATTGGCATATTTAAAGTCTACTAAGAGAACTCATAAGGCAGCATTTAAGTTAATTGATGTAGATCTATTGGAAAATGCTCTTTTCATGGATAAAATATAATTTTTCCTCCTTCCTTCAAAAAAGGTGCAAAAGTCTTTTCAAAATGTATCGTTTTATATTATATTGCAGGTTGTAACCTTCCTATGAGATATATATGGATTTTAGAGTACTGCAAAATAATCCCTAATCTGACAGTGAGCAATAATACAGCAGGCTGTTTATTTGTCTTTTTCTATACCTGGGTAAATATCATGAGCAGGCCCTGGAGAGCATCCCATGGTATTATCTGCAGCATCCTGTGGTGACAGGGCTGTCTGGAGGGGTGGGATTGTGAGGCAGTCATTCAGGATGTCCTGGCCAAGCTCTGAGCTCGATCGCAACTGAAACACGAGACAAAAAAGCAGAAATTATTATAACATGGGGGGGGGAGGAAAGGAAATAAGTCACAAAAATCCTTTAGGCACTGAAAAAAATGTTGAGGGGGTATAGAAAGAAATGGAGCACAAGAAGAATTCTTCCTTTTCAAACCCTGGTTCATATCCTTCCATTATAGGCATTTTTTAATTTTAGAAAGGAAACTTCCAGATACATAAATAGACTGTACTCAGGAGAGGGGTGACCTGCACAGATAAGACCTCAGAGGGGGTGGACTTATGTGTGTTCTCTTGTTATACACTGCAAAAGAGAAATAAGTGTCTTGATCCATGGATAATGGAGATATAGCAAAAGTCTGGTGTTTTATTTCAGCAGAGGGGTACCGTAAGAGCCCTAAATATTTCCCTGCTGGCACAATTCCTTGAACTGGCTCACTGAAGGATCAGAAAAGCAAAGGCATTACTGGCAGTGGAAACGAGGGACTAGGAGCAAGCAGCAAGGAATGGTATCATTCAAGGTGGTACCACTTTATATGGACCAAAGGTGTCTCAACATTACATTGTTAAAGTGACTAGGACAGCATTTGTTTCATATTATGGCTGAACTGATCTGGAAGTGAGTGCTCTGTCACTGCCACTAATCCCACTGCATGCATGGCCACTTGCCTGGTACCTAATCCATCAACAGAAAGTCTATCTGGCTGATCCAGCAGTAAATTCATTCTGCAAACAATTAAGAAACAAATTCATAAGAAGACTTTTCCTTTGGATGAAACTGCATGAACAGTCTCACCCGAGGCTAGAATACAATTTCAAAAAAACCAAACTTCAAACCAAAATAAGGAAAAGGGTGAAAAGCCTTCTGCAGCACCCTGGAACATGGCTGTTCTAGCTGCAAAGCAAATCTGCATCCTGAGGTTTCTGGCAGATGGATGCTGCTGTAAGCTTCTGGGACTTATGCCTGTCACAAACCCCTGCCTGGTCTTATTGTCATATGTAACAACACTCTGCCTGTTGCTTATGGCCATCTCACCTCACAGGCTGGTGTATCATTTAAAAGCATGAAAAAGGAGGGGCTGTGCTTACATGTATGTGGGCCACTGCAGTGGCTGAGATGCAAGATAAAAATCCCTTCCTGTCACATATGCTGATGAACAGATAGCTCATGCAGCAGGATGGACAGAAACCTGATCTCATGCAGTAGGAACTGCTGCACTCACACATTAGAATCGCTGGAGGCAAAGTCTCACAGATGCAACTGAGGCTTCTCCTCTCTGGTGCCATGAAAGGTGAGCAGTTAACAGTAACTAGAGCATAACATAGCATCTCTGACAAACTCCTAAGGGGAGGAAAAGGAACAAGAGAAATTTCTGTCCATTCTATACTCAGAAATGAAGAAAAAAGAGGGAATGGTTGTGAATGAAACCATAAGAAGACTCGCTACTGTGCCACATGATGCTGATAATCACTCTAATTGCTTCTGATTATATGTTTTAGTACTGTTGCAAGAAGAGTAGAGAAATGGTCTTACATATCATAAGCACCAGAGGCTGGGTGACTGTAATAAGGAGCTATTATGCAACCGATGATATCTATGCATACACTGTGTATGGTGTAGAATATTCCTTCTCTTAAAAATTTAGTGTGTCATTATTAAGTCCACAGCTGCCAAAAGCACCTTCATGAGATGTATTTGTTACTCTAGAACTTGGTATTCAAGAATTGTACAGAGAGAGAGGGAAGCAGAGGGGAAGGGAGGGTAGGCAAAAAAAAGGGAGAAATACCCTGACAAATGCTTTTCATTTGTTATCCATGTTTACCATCTGTTAGAAGTCCAAAGATTTAATCCAGTGCATCATGTGTGGTTGTTTGCTATTATCCACTAATTATTCTGTTTTTACTACTATCACTAATAAATTAAGTAGCTTTTTGATTTGTTCAATTTTCTACAATCAGATAGCATTCCTGTGGATGAAATAGTGAGGAGGGCAAGGAAATGATACCTAAGTATTAACACATTATTAACAGGTATTGAATAATAGCAACAGCCTATTTTACACATTTTTCTATTTTGCTTGTTTTGCATTTACCCAATAGCCAATGCTTATAAAAACAAACAAAACCCAAGACCTAAAAAGTGAAGCAGACAGTGGGAGATTCCAAATCCATGCACCTGTTATCATTGATTCATATTTACAACCACAAGGGCTAGAAATACAGATTTTATACTTACAAACACACACACATACATGCATTGTATATTATAATATGTAATTTTAGAATGACATTATATGTATTTAACATACATGTAATAAAATATTCTGAATAAGAGGTGGGTATTACACTGATTAGTGCAACCGCAGACACCACTGCTAATTCAAATTGCCACTAGAAATACTATCACAGGCCTTCCATAAACCCTCACTAGATAATAGATGCTGGAAATAACTTTACACTCCTTTACTGCAGGGTATGTATGCAAGTTGCTTTTTAAGAGTAATTACTGTTACACCATCAGAAAGGGTAGGGAGCAAGGGGTAGAGGACCTCTTCTCTACTCCACTGGTTAGCAGAGCAGGACCAGAAACAGCTCAGCTTGCTTTGCAGAACCAGCCTTTAAATCACAGCTGCTCCCAACACTAGGCAAAACCTCTGGGAAACTCCATTCCACACCATTACTGTTTTCTCTTGAGAGATACAGCAAGCATGCTTTGGCTACTCCTTCCTCTGCCACCTAAAGCTCAACCTCTGTGCAATGTTTTTCAAGATGTTTCCTCAGTATGATTAAGCTTGTACTGTTAACAGGGCTGGCATAAGATGTGGCCTTTTTGGAACAAAACAGACTGCAGAAAACAGACTCTGGTTCCAACATGGCTGATTAAGGTATTGCTTTTTCCTGTACAGACATTCAGGGTAAAAAACCCGAGTCAAGTATTTTTGTGTATTTTATATAAACTTTTAATAAAAAGTTGAAACTAAAACCAGTGTTTTGCATTTTGCCAAAAGTAGGTAAATCTGAGTTGTGATTTTTCTTCAGCATGTGAAGAAACACAGAACAATCAATGAAAAGACAGGTGACCTTAAAAAGAAGAAAATAAATCAACCACTCATTGCATCCATAAAATTTTAGTTAGTCTTCAGCTTAAAAAGCAATAAAGAAGAAATAATAGACCAGACCTAACTGCTGCAGTCTGGGTCTTGCTTTGCTCTGAAAAAAGTGCATTTCTTTTCCAGCCAAACTGTAGACTTGTTATCCAGCTGTAAAAGACAGCTGACATCCTCCTTGACTTCTGTATAAATCATATTCCAGCACAAATCTTCCAGCATCCTGGCTGCAATACCCTGTTTGGCCCATGATCACTCAGCTGAGCACTGGTACAATCACACTGGGTCTGAAAACTTGTCAATCTATTTTTGGGAACTATAGGGTTACAAAGTTACCTTGCTGAATGATGAAATCAGTAACTCTGAGTTTTGCCACACTTGAACACATACATTTTCTGTCTGCTGTGATGTAGCCTAAATTTAGGGCTGACCAAGATAAAAGTTCACAACCAACTCCTCAGCTCACTTACAACTTTCCTTTAATAAATATTTGATCTAAAAAATAGATTTTCAATTTTAACAGCTCAGTTGTATGGCAGACTTGTGATATTTTTTATGTGGAAATCTCAAACATTCCCACAATAACAATGTGGCAGGCAGATTTTTCTAAATCACAAAACCAATCACTGTCAGTCATGATTTACAATTCATTTACTTCTGTAACAATCAACTGCTGTTTATCAGCTTTCAGAACAATGGATGGAAATTCTACTCCTGCACCTTTTAGATATTATTAAATAATTACCCAAGATTAAATTATACAAGCAGAAGTAACAGAAAGGAGTAAGACTTTACGTTCTTCAATTTTCAGTTTAACTATACTCAAGACCAGAGATGTGCTGTTGATTTGATGCATGACATAATTCCAGAGAAAATGTTTCCTTAAAATAAAATATAATACGTTTTATATTTCTCTAGCAAATGTTTTATCTGAGATCTGCATATATTCGTACAACCTGGCTAGTTTTTTCAGCATTATTCCAGCTCAACAGAAGTAAGACAGTATTATGAAAAAATAAGAAACCTGTTTTTATGATTACACTTAGAAGAGAAGTAGCTTAGGATTTCTCAAACTTAAGTTTGCTTTCAAGCAAAAAAATAGTATCTCAGTAACTTCAAAATCTTCCTATACATACCCAGATTAATTCAAGTAATTCTTCAGCAAAGTCTGGACTGTTCCAGACATTCAAACATGACCATTAAAGTCATCCAATCACAGCATTTCAAATCTTGCTTTCCTGAAAGCAGGCTTAATGGACTGTATGTATGCTGTGCACCTAGGAGAGTATTTCCATATGTAAGGATAATATTGATTATAGTCTATTTATTTTGAAGCAGGTTAGATTTGTGTCTGCCATGTGTAAAACAAGGAAAAAAAATATTGCTGTGTTTCATTGAGATGAACTGCTTTACTCTAACAGCAATACATTTATAAATGTGGTTTTGTTTTCATTATAAAGCTAAGGAAGTCTTTCTGTCAATCACAATCTGTGTAATGTTTACTAAGAGCTATTTGTCAAGCAATGAATATGCCAGTTGTCTTCCACTAATTTTCATTGTCCTTAAGTTAAATTGGCACTGAGAGGGAGAAGCACGATCCATAGCTATATATAAAAATAGCTATATATTGCATTAGTTTTTCTGAAGAAGCAAGCAGAAATTAATTTTTGCTTGTACAATAAAATTATATCCTGTCAGCATCACCACACTGACAGTACACAGGGGTGAACACTAGAAAATCTCAAGTTCAATCTGAAGCCACGCTATGTGACAGTGTTTACTTATAGTACAGGTTTGCTTGCTAGATCATTTCTTTACTCTGACACATCATCTTCAAGGTCCTGATCTTTCTTGCACAGTACTAAACCTTTCTGACAATAGACAAGAAAGGTTTAAACTGAG